CCCCCCCCCCCCCCCCCCCCCTCCTCCGCCCCTGGCTCAGATGCTACAATGAGTGGTTTGTTATTGTGGACCTAAGGGGGTAAAATAAGAATCTTTTCACATATTTTTCATGAGTTAATAATTAGATTCCTTATTTTACAATTCTAACTAGATTTCTACCTCGTGCTTTGCACGGGCTGGGGATGTGTTCTCGTGTCTATTAATTAAGATTATCATAGTTAGATTTTTTTGGTAAAACTATGTAACACTTTGATTACAAATTAAATACAGTTTTCAATAATTAAATATCATCAAAATTTGATATATGAAAACAATATTTTAAATGGACGACACAATTTTTATAAATTTACACACTTTGTGGTCAAAGTATAGAGCAACTCGACCAAAATATTAAATTGTTATTAAATGATATACTAATAAAAATTGATTTACATAATGAAAAAATAAAATAAAAATGCCAAATAAATTAAGGTAATGATAAATCATTGAAAAATACATATGTGGTATATGGCCTATATGCCATGTGTTATACTTCAAGAAAAATAAATTAATTTAATTTAATGTGTGGAAATGATATATAGCAAATTAAATAAAGTTACAGATAAAACATTTTGAAATAAAATACAGTATATAGTTAGTAAATATATAGTTAATAAAATTTAGTTGTTTGGTAAAATAACAATATAAAATAAATGGTGGATTGTTATATATATATATATATATATATAGCATTCAATATATATATATATATATATAGCATTCAATATATATATATATATATATATATATATATATATATATATATATATCAGATCAAATCTGATAAATTGATGGGAAACTAACCAAACTAGAAGAGAACATGAAAAAATACCAAAATAAGAGCTTATTATTTTTTATCCACAAAATATAAGTTAAAATGCTAGTTTTGTCAACATATAATTCAAAAAACACTGTGAGATGTCACTATATATTATCATAATGTCAGAATACAACTTCTATTTTGAGGATAAAAATATGGAACTCTTCTTTTGAGGATAAACGAAATGTTTTACTCCTATTTGGGGTGATTTTTTTAAATATAGATTTTTAAAAAAATCAGAACACGCTTAAGACTCTGTTTTGTCCGCTTGATTCGATTTAATCAAATCTTATTTCTTGAAGATCCGATTTCATTGGATCTGATATAGTTCGGTGTTTGGAATCATAATTGATGTACAGACATTTTTGGAAAGTCAATACCAAAGTACATTCCCCTTAAATCTTTTAAAAGTCAAAATGAGAAGTTTTTTGCGGGACGGAGGGGTAATAAAAAAATATTAGATTTGTTTTTCATAATTTTTGTAGACTTATCTAATTTAATCTAAAAACAACTTATGATTGATTAAAAATTGATCTGATTGGATCTGATAAAGTCTCATTCAATTCAATCTGATTACACCTGATTTGGTTTGATGTGATCTGATTTTAGTAAAAAAATACTAACTAATAAGCCGAAAAAATGAGCTTAACAGAACACAAACCCTTATTCCTGAATCACCAAACAGCATAACATGAGGCTACATAAACTGCTATTTTGTACAACCTTTTCTTCCCTCCATGGATATTCATCAAGTTCTTTTCCATCCCTTGTAAAGATTCTTCTGGGAACTAATAGTCTAACCAGCATGAAAAACTACTAAAGATGACTATAAGAAATTACATTTACAAAAGAGATTATCCACATCCTCATTGTCAATATCCATAAATTTCCCCAACCTCTCTTTACTCTGCAGTCTCTTCTTATAAGGATGTATTGATGCTTTCGAATGATTAACTTGTTCGAGACAACCTTTGTCTAAGGCTCCGTTCCGTTCAACTTATTTTTTCTGATCTGATCTGATTTTAATAAGTTCTGATCTGATTTGATTGAATCTGATCTGATCTGTAAAATAATAAATAATGCTTTATTGCTTGAATAATTTAGAGGAATACAAAGTAATGAATATATAGGTGGAGTTGGAGTATTCTAGAATTCTCCATATTAATGGCTAGATAAATAAGGAAATATTGTATAATAATAAATCTAGCTATAATAGGTAACAACCATAAATATAATATATAATATTAAATATATTAAAATAATTAATATATTTAACATGCTACCAACGTTTTGGGAGGTGAAGATTGAACGCCAACTTTTACTTGAATTGTGACCAAAATTGTAATCAGAAGCTAACGCATATCTTCGGCAAGAGTAGACTGAATGCCTCCCGCCAGAAGAGAAGAAGAAAGATTGCAAGGAAAGAGATGTGATGGCGCTGATGAGGAGAGGAGAAAAGCCGCTGCGAACAGACTCATGCTGTTGACGTTGAATGAGGGAGAAGGTTGGCGTGCGCTGGAGTCGTTCACGACTAATTTAGAGAAGAAACAAAAAGAATGAAGAGTTGCTAGGGATGCTTGTTAACTGAAGATTTGACGACTGAGCAAGCTGATGTGACAATCTCATCTTAAATCAAGAAGCGGCGGTGATGGATCTAGAGATGGACAGTTGTGGTTGGCTGGGAATATATATTTTTTAGCTAGATGAAATTATGAAGAATTATGATCAAAGGAGGAACAAGCTAGGTGAAGCTGAGGCCACCGTCGCAGGACAAACACCGGCGACGGCGGAAGCGGAAACTATTAGGTTTCCAAGAGTGAAGGCTCCGATACCATGTAAAATAATAAATAATGCTTTATTGCTTGAATAATTTAGAGGAATACAAAGTAATGAATATATAGGTGGAGTTGGAGTATTCTAGAATTCTCCATATTAATGGCTAGATAAATAAGGAAATATTGTATAATAATAAATCTAGCTATAATAGGTAACAACCATAAATATAATATATAATATTAAATATATTAAAATAATTAATATATTTAACATGATCTGATTGAATCTGATTTGATCTGATCTGACCTAATTGGATCTGATCTGATCTGATCTGATCTAGTCTGATTAATTATGATTTAATTTAAAATTTCAAATCAATAATTTCATTTGACTTTATAATAACGTTTGAAAATTGTAATGATAATTCATATTATGATATAATCAATATTTTTTATTTAATGATTATTTTTTAATAAAATAAAAATAGTTAATTCATACGGAGTATATTAGAATAATCATTCATATTATAATGTAATAATATTTTTTATTTTATGGTTATTTTTTTGTGAAATTAGAATATTAATTTAATATTTTAATAATTACTTCATATATACATTAGAATAAATATTTAATTTAGATATACATTAAAAAGTAATTAAATTTAGATAATCAATATATAGAAGAGATAATATTTTTAATAAAATATCTCATCCTTATAAAAGATCAAAACTTTAGAAACTCAAATTACAAGTAGCAATAAAAATATATTTTAAAAGTAGAATTAGATTGACATTGTCAATGTATTTTAAAACTAATTTTTCCGACGTCTAATAATTAAGGATTACTTTCTCAGTTTTCTATTTAACCTAATTAAAGATTACTTTCTCAGTTTTCTATTTAGCCCTATGTAAAATATCTTTAATTTGTATCATAAATATCTCTATTGGGCATATCTCTAAAAATAGGTAAAGAAAGTAAATTAAGTTTAACCTAACAAATACTAAACAGACAATTTAATTTGAGACGGAAGAAGTATCATTTTATAAAACTATTGATATAGTTTTTAAATATGTAATTTTTTTATTCCATACCATTTTACAAATAATTTGAATTAAAAAATATTCTAATCCAATCTCGTAAACAGCATGCCACTTAAATTGGACGGGGTAGGGTATATATCTTTTTGGTCTAATCTGATCTAGTCCTGATCATTTGATCTGTAGAATATATCTAGTATGATTTGACACTAATAAAAATAATTAACAGGAATAAATAATGCGCATAAAGTAAATTAAGTTTGACCTAACAAATAATTTAATTTGAGAAGGAAGAAGTATCATTTTATACTCCCTCCGTCCCAATTTACAATGCATATTTCAATTTACGATGTTTGACTGAATTATTTTCAAATCGTTTTATATGACAAATGGTATAAAATTAAAAAAATCAAAATTACATATTAAAATACTACGGAGTACATCAAAAGATCTACAAAACTAGTAGTGACAATAGTATTTTATTTTATTAAATTGCTAACGAAATAGAAAAAGAAAGTAAATGAAATTTGACCCTGTAAATAATGAATAAGCATTATAATTTGGGACGGAGGAAGTAGTTTTTAAATATGTAAATTTTTTTAATTCCATACCATTTTACAAGTAACTTGAATTAAAAAATATTATAATCCAATCTCGTAAATAGCATGCCACTTAAATTGGATGGGGCAATGTATATATCTTTCTGGTCTAATCTGATCTAGTCTTGATCATTTGATCCATAGAATAGATCTAGTATGATTTGACCCTAATAAAAATAATTAACTGGAATAAATAATAAGTTGTAAAGAACATTTTGTAAGTGAGATACTTGAAGGGACAATGATAGACCGCTAGCCCTACAACGCATTTTTTCCCGGAGGGACGGTGAAAGGATTCGCATTGGTCCAAATCCAGACCGAACTTGGAGCGAGTCGGAGTAAATTAATGGATCATGAACCAGACCGCTTGAAATTATGCACTGTAATTTTGTTGCCACTAGAACAAGTAGATCAGAAAATGAAGCTTTTTAACAAAAGGAAGCTTTGGCAAGCAAAGAACAGCAACTCTATTTACAAGAATCAATTGATTTACACAGTCAAAATTCAATGAAGAAAATGAATCAAATGCTTCTTCTTCCTCCTATGAAGTAGTGTATCCTCCATCCCTAGTCCTGTGAATTTGTCGAATATTCAAATAGGAGTCGTTTGGATGGGGCAGATTGTATGAGCACGTGCAAACGGCTAGTGAGCTGGTAAATCAAGGTCCATTGCATAGTCGTCTCCGAATCCTTCATCTGCCTAACTACCGACGCCTGGAGTAGTGTTCATCCGTAAAAAAAAAAGATTAGTTTCAAAATGATGAAGATTTAAAATGCTAACGGTAAATAATTAGAGAACAAGCCCACTAACACTCTGTTTCGATCTTTTTTCTTATTGTTATTTTTGATAATGATGAGTTCAAGACTGATACGTAACCTGAAGACGCTTCCCCAGCTGAACTTCTACTTCAGTCCCAAATGAAATGTTGCTTGCTAGAGACTTGAGAGGATCGACTGTGGGGTCCACAGAGAGCAAACTCGGGATCTGGGGAGCGTAAACTAGTCTCCACCTAGCCTGCCCGAATTCCCCCTTGCCTTCTATCCTCGGCATCAATGTCCCGAGTGTAGCAGTTGCAAGCTTCTTAAAAGCAAGCTTACCATCACCTTCCAATATTGATTCAGCTAACTGACTTTCAAAAACTCTGGCAGCCTGTTTAGTCACACACCACGTGTCATGTAACCACATGCATAAGCTTTGCACATGCTAATAGCTTTTCATTGCAAGACCCAATTGACAAACTTTAGCATCAAAATTTACCTCAGTAGTTGAAAGAACATCTTGCTCCGCTGAACGTGTTGAGGTCATGACCAACTTTTCCTGCCAGTTGCTAGCTCGACTTTGAATTCTAAACTGCCATTCTGATCCCACCAGGGCTAGATCAAGCATCGGATCAAGACCATTGTCAGGCTCAAATTTGGCAATATTAAGATGCTCCCGTTTGAGCCTCACCTGGATTTAGTGTACAGAGAAATGAGAAAATAAAGGCCAAATCGAATCATTTCAAGAATTATCAAATGGCTAAGAACAAATCTGAGACTTGCACCATTTGCTTCCAAGGATATTTTAAAACATACTTGTGTCGCAACGAGATTCACATCACCATTCTCGAATGTCAAAACACCTTTAGGCTTTATACATTTGGGATGAGCTGGACCATTTAATTCGAGTTCTCCACTGACTGCAAAATTGAGAATCAAAGGATAAACTATCCTCAGTTCTGGCCCAAGACCAATCCTTAGGTCTGTTAGGCGAATATCAAGCTTTGGTCTGCTGTTTACCAGCACCATCTCCTTTTCAACTTCATCATGTTCACCTACAAACAGTCATAGTTGGTTACCAGCTTTTAACAGAAGATTCATCAACAGCTGATCAAGTTTTATACTATCACTTTCCATTTTAATCTCCTTGTCAGCACCAAGATATATGGGTATTTAAATCATCATGAATCTTGGCTTCATGCTCATGTTTCTCACTTTCTCCAATACGAGATTTGTATTTCGAACTGTCTCACTGAATTTAACCCAAAATAAAATGAACTACACGCTCATCTTCAAGTTCATACTCTCAAAACTTACCAGATGATTGGTGGAATGAGCTATTTGAGGATGCTGGTACTAGGTTAAGAAAACGTGAAACATACTTTGATGCAACCATGTGACCATAACCACTAGCTGGCAGTCTAGGTTCATTTGTTGTTTCCCTATTGAAGGCAGCAACTCCACTACTACCCTTGTCATGGGGCAGATAAGCTTCTCCGTGGCTGACCTTTATCTTTCCAGAGATGTTTGGTTGCATGATAGATCCAGTTATTTGCAACTGAGTATCAACCTGACCACTTAGATAACCAGAAGTTTCCCTCTCAGTTTTCTAGACGAAATAATGAAACAATGCATGTAAGGGAGGGGTTTCCTTTTGGAAATTGGAATATAAATTACCTCAATATGTTCCTTGCACGCACTTCCAGGACCTCACATTTTAAGTCAAGTTTATCGCCGGGAGATGCTTCACTAGCACTGAGGGGCAGATTCCCTTTTAAAGACAATTTCCCCTTTCTGCTTACCCTGCCCTCCAATGAGCCAATACATAGTCTATTTGAATTTACATGAACAGTTCCTCCAAAATTGGTAATTGGTTTACTAAGTACAGGTGAAGACACAATTGCCCGGTTAAAATAGGCAGAACCATCCAGCACTGGTTTCTCCACGGTACCCCTTACCTACACAAGTTAAAACTCAAATTAATGCCCAATAAACAATATTAGAAACAACTCATATCACAGTTCAATTATAACAAAAGACAAAAGAGAATTGACTCAACCTGAAGCATAACTTCAGCATTTCCGTGGAGCCAGTTAGCATAAGGAGATAATGCTGTTAGTAACATCATGCCACCATCTTTGATGTCAGCATCAATCCTAACTTCGCCTGCATCCAATATGTTCCAGTTTAAACCCTTGAGGCTCTCTGCCAGTTGTGTATCCCAAACCTCTTGATTCTTTTCTCTTGATCCTTTTCTTTCATTACCCTCATCAGCAGAAGTCTTACTTCTCTCTGTATCCCAACCTCCAACCCATGTGGCTTCCCTTTCAGTGCTTTCTTCCTCCATAACATTGTCTTGAACAAGTGTTAGAGGAATACTTCCTTGAATAAGTACGTGGCCATATTGAACAATGGGTTCTAATTTCGCATTAAATAGGAAACGGCTAGTCGAGGTTAAAGAAGCAACGATTTCAGTCCTCCCAAGTTCGATTCCCCCAATTGACCCATCCAAGAGCCTGACTTGGACATCGCATTCAGGTTTGGCTAGATTTCCCTTCAGATCACCTTCCATGTGTAGGATACCTTTAATAGGTGCTAACAATTTCCTCAGGGAGTGAACGACTTCAGTGGCTGAATTTTCAATAACCTGAACGAGAGTGGGAACCAAACTGACAGGGAAATTCAGAACAGCAAAATGCAAATTTGTCTTTGGCCCTAATACAGTCCCATCCGCATGGATTGTTGCATTATCCTTTTGGATGAAGATCCTTTCAAGACGCAAACCATCATTGTTGTTGTACATACCAGCTGCTAAAATGCGCTGGGTTGTGTATGAGCCCCACTCCCATTCCTCTCCATGAAAGTCAAACTCTGCCTAAGGTAGCCATAAAAGAATAAATTAAATTAACCATGAAGATACAAAATTGCAAGTTCAGCACGATAGAGCAAATAGTAAAGGACTCTTAGTTCAGCCAGAGTCCATGGTGAAATTCTGTTCTCTCTTTTATGTCAGGTAATGAAGAACAAAGTGATTCAAAACCATTTTCTTATATAGAAGTGTAAGAATTGTTGGATTTATCTAGTTTTTTGTACTTTAGGTTCAAGGAAAGGATATATCAGCGTGAGAATCATTAAATGTATGGGGAACTTTGCTGATTAACTGCGGCAGAATGCCAAAATGAATAATTGAAGATAGAAGTTTCATGCAGAATTTTAGACCAGGACAACTAAGAATTCTCCCATGATGAACATAGGTAAGATACAAGTCCTTTTCTGTAGATTTGTTAGCAATCAGTCAAGAACCTGGTTAAAATGTTACATATTTTTCTCCCATAGAATTATAATTTATGTGCAGAGATAACTACCGTCGTATCACCAGTGCCTCCTCCACTAGCATCCAAAGAGCCACGCCAGCGACCTTTAAGTTCAGCTAAACCTGGAAGATCGAAATTGTCAAGGACAACTTCATATGATGTGGCACAATGTCCTCGAAATTCCTACAAGAATTTTACAGAATCAGATATGAAAATTTCAAGGTAAAGCTCTTGGAAATTTGAAATCCCATAAATTTTAAAAATCATGCAAGAAAACGTACCTCGAGGAGTTTCTGAAGGCTTTCAGCACACAGTCCAACTGAGTGCAAACTTTTTATGAAGAGGTCCTGCAGGTGCACAAAGAGAACCACATAAACTAAAAACTAAGGCTCTACCCACAACCCAAAGCAAAAGAGGATAAAATAAGAAAGTGATAATCAATATGGATAAAATTGATGTAATGTGCCACAAACTATTGACTTAATTAAGGCTAGGCAAAGGTACAAGGAGAACAATCAAGTTTACGATTAGATTCAATAATTTAAAAGGGTAAACCTCAACAAAAATTTACTTCCAGACTATAAAGATTGGTACACTAGTTCAGAATTTAGTACCTAAAATTAGAATATATAAGCTGATTACAACAACAACAACCCAGTATAATCCCAACTTCGTTCGGGTCTGCGGGTCAAAATGTATGTAGCCTTACCCCTATTAAATATAGAGAAACTGTTTTCCTTGGAGCCTTAATGCATTGCTGCATCTACTACCCAAAACTCAATTGAAAGTAAGAAGCGAAGGAAGTTTAACATGCCATTTTGATTATGCCAAGCAAAGCACCAAGCCCATTAGATGAGTTCATGCATATGCATGTTGCCATGCAGGTGAAACTAAGTTCTAATTGCATTAAAAATGGAAAGAGAAAGCTCCTGATGAGACATTATAGGCTCCATTTATGCAGTACAACAAAGCTTCTAACAAAGAATCTTCAAATATATAATATGTCACACGTGTAGAGTAAAACCTTCGATCTATACTGAACAGCAGGATCAGAACTTCGAGAAAGAAGCCTAGCAAGTGGAAGCATCTCTGCTATTTCAGCATTAGGTACCTCTAGTCTCATCCTCCATCTACCCATAGAAGAGACTATGCTCCCTAAATGACGAGTCATTACTTTGTCGAACAAGCTACCTATTTCCTTTCTCACAGGGCTTCGATCCCGGGAACCAGGCAATACATACTCTCCTTGTAGTTCATATTTGCTATTGCTTTGTTCCAAGATAGCACTTTCAACGGTGATCTACAGCAGAGAAGTATTAACAAGCAAAAAATACCAACATCAACCATAGGATTACACCCAAAAAAAACAAATATAATGAGCATATGATAACCAGCATTGCAACATGAAAATTGTCAAATAGTCAACCAAAGTTACAATCCAACGGACATAAACCAGACAAAACAACTGCACTCAGTGTTTCCATGAACACACAAGGAAGAGAATTGTGAACAAGAATTCCATATTAATATATACCAATTTAAGCATTTCAAAATTGAGGACGTCCAAAAGCAGCAAAAAAGACGAGTGCTCCTGAGAAACATATTTGAATGAAATATGTTTCATATCATTGATTAATCCCAATTCATTGGGAAGCTACTTTAAAATTTTGAGGTGCAATAAGTCATCCAGACTGTGCTGGATGTAAGGCGACAGGCGGTCCACAAATTAATATTGTACCTATGTTGGGAGGAAATTTGGTGACTTGGCATGGTAAAAAGCAAACTACCTAGGTTAGTGTGGAAGCAGAATACATGGCTACGGCCCACACAATTAGTAAGATGTGACCAAAAGGTCTACTCTGCAAGTTGGGTTTTGGCTAAAATGAGCCATAACCTATTTACAGATAGGCAATCACGTGGAAATTTGTATGGACAGTAATCCTGTCTTTCATGAAAAAAATGAACACATTTAAGTTGATTGCCACTGAGTCACTTCGCTTGTGAGGTATGAGTCTAAAAATTAGTACATTACTCCATCCTCGGAACAGCTAACAGATGTGTTCACTAAGGCCTTAGGTAAAAAACAATCCAAAATTTTGTGCAACAAGATGAGCATGATTGATATACCATTATACATGTTCCGACTTGAGGGGGTGTTAGGATATCTCCTAGAATATTTGTAAGGAAATTTGATGTCTCCAAAGATATAGATATTTAGTGCGTAATTCATAGTTACTTTAGGCCATTTAAGAGAGATTTATTCTATATGGAAGATATAATTAAAAAAGTATTTTCAGTCTTTCAAACAGACATAAATCTGTCAATGAAACAACAATTTGAAATCAAATATGAAATGCACAAGTGGATGAAAACGAAAAAAATCAAAAGCTTCAAAGAAATACCAGTACCTTACAAGCTTAGCCAAAATTAAGAACACAAACATCTCTCTTTTTCTTTCAGATTAGATGTGTGTAGGGCTGCTTTACCAGGAACTAAATATAAGTAATTGCAACTTGAAAGACGTTTAAGCTAATAAACACCCTTTCAATGTAGTGTTAAAAAAAGAAGTGCTGATATCTTAAATCCAAATCAAAGAACTAAATAACTGCAAAAACACTGGTTTCAGGAACAGTTTTCATTAAGAATATCCCTAAATTGAAAGATTAATATATAATTATGTAACAGATCCCTTGTACTCAAAATAAACCCGACAAGCAGCAGCATACTGCTTAATCTGAATGTATAGATGAAGATACTTACCACATCTCCACTCCATCTAGCAGCCACATCTAGAGCTTCACCCAATACCCCACTGAACTTTGGCTGCAGAACAGATAACACACCGTGGCCCCTTCTTTTCTGGAAGTTCAATTGAAGTTCTGCCTGAAAAGCGGGAAACACAAAACAAAACCATCAGCAACGAAGTACTTGATAATCTGCTGTAGAATCCTGAAACTAGCATGGATACGTATCCATCTACCAAACTCTAATTAATATCTTATAGTAAAAAGATATGAGAAAGCCAAAAAATCATGCAACCAAAAACAATCATCACATAAAAGGAGATGTCGGCGCTCCTTTGGAAGAAATCAAACCATTCCCAAAGAAGAGCATCATTAATTGTGTATTTGAGTAAAAGAGTTTACCCTCAAAATGTCTCCACGAAGTGAGGCTAGCTCCAGTTCATCCAGTGGCAAATGCCGCACCTAATTGCATGCAGATGACACATTTTGTCTCAACACGAAGGAAAGAAGTGGATAACAAGAAGCAGAGGGAGACTCAGAAAGCAACTTAAGATTAAAAAAAAATGAATGATAAAGGACCTCCAAGCTAGCTGAGTGTTGTGGTCGATAACATGCACTAGCATTCAGGTGACCTTTCTGCAGAGAAAAAGAGAGCAACTGCCCAGCTAGATTTTCTTCAGAAGTTGACGGCAACAGTCCCACAAGTTCTACTGCAAGACGTTCATCTGGTCGACCAGTAGCCACCAACTGCTTCACAAAATAGATCAGAGATGATGGATCTTGTGTCCAAGTGTTTTGGACTTCATATAGGGAGACGCAAGGAACATTTAATATTTGCACTCACTTACATAACAAGAGGGTAGAATGATATTTCCAAGGACACTGGAAAACAAATACGTTAAGATTCCATATATTGTAGGGAGTGAACATGTATAGGCAGCATATTTTATTTTTCCTTTTGAATTTTCATCCTCCACCCACAGTACAACCCTTTAAAGACCAAGAACCCATACAAGTTATGATCACATTCAGAATTGGTTAACATTGGGTTTGTGAAGCACCTTGGGTGGTAAAGGGAATATCAATGATAAAGATAAGAGCTAAACCCAATGATCATGACATCTTTAAGGATTACTGATTATGAAGAGCTGGAGACAAGCTGTAAAACATACCTTTATACCCTTCGACCTTATGTTCAATACTCCAGCTAACTGAGGAGCAAGCATCAATTGATTGAGTTTTAGACCTGATATTGATATATCACCAGAAATCCTCTTTGCATCTTCATCACAATCCATGGGTAATTCTAAATACTTATCAGATCGAAAGACTCCACTATCAACACTGCTGGAAATCTTGGCAACTTCTCCTTGAAACTTAATTCTTCCGGTTGCTCTCAAATGCACGGGCCTTGGAGAATCAAATGCATAAGAAGAAACCATGTTGAAAAATTCAAAGTTGTGCAATCGTAGATCCAATTCAACCCCTTCAACGGAGAATGGAATGGCACCTGTTTTGCCATACTCTCTCCAGTTTAAGCAGTTCTCGTCAGGATATGATGTTGAAACTTTTGTACTCAATTCAAAAGCAGGAGACCAAGAATTGATAGATATGTGGTCATGTGAAATGATAACATCTCCATGGGCATCAGAAAGTGATCCTTCAGCTCTTGGTGCAGTCCACTTGATATCAAATCTCCTACATTCATGAAAGTGGTCCATACTTATTTACTCCAGAAATAAATAATACTTTGAGACTATGGGTTCCATCGGGCATTTAGAAAGACAGAACACAAAATCTTACGGTCTTAACAGCGAGCCAGAAACTTTTGTTTCACCATTCAGATCCCCTAATTTAAAGGGCACTGTATGAAGATAACCAGATTCATAGCGATGCATAATTCTATCAAAACACAAGTTGCCCGAAAAATTAAAATCCATAGCTTTGTCATCAACCTCACCCTGCAATTATAGACCATCATCAAGCTAAATTGGAAATATGAACAAGGGTTTCATACACTTAAGGAATAGATAGGTGCAATGACCAAATGGCTGAGATGTATTTCATTCCCCATGTTTTTTGATCAAAAAGTCACCATTTAAAGTCTTGGAGCCTAGGACTCAGGATCAGTTATATATAGAATGATTGAATGAAATGGCAGAAGTAACTTGGGTTGCACAGCTAGTTGGCGAAATATAATTATAAGAGGTTAATACAGGGAACTTGGTGGAATAAAATATAGTCCCAAAAAAACAATATACTCCCTCAATCTCCAAACTTACTTTACAATTACAATTTAAAAGCTCAAACTATATCGTCTTTCCTTGCATATTCTCATTGATCATGTGTTAAAATAAAATAGTCACCTCTTGTTTTTAAGAACTTTTGATGTACTAGTAGTTTTTAAATATAGTAAAATTTATATTTCAATATAAAATCAACATTAAAATAAACTGTACTGAAAATTACTTCAATCAAGCACTGTTCTGTTCGTCAAGTTCATTTGGAGACAGAGGGAGTATTTTCTTATGCAGTTTATTTATAAGCACAGCCCGATCTACTGTCTTCGAGAATTAAAAACCTCTGGACAAATCCAAGCATTTCCTGCTCCACGAATTTCACCACCATCAACAAGAGTAGCTTTGATCCCATAGAGGTCAGCAACCTGCCTTGTGCAAGTCCAAAAATGAACATGTGAACAAACAAAAGGATAAAGTTCAAACCAATTTTGAATTTTGAATATATAAAAGAAACAATGTTACTCACACAATTATCAGTGTTAAAAGTAAAGTTGGCCGAAATATAAGAGAACGGAACATGGTCAATTGCTGCCACTGCACCAGCCTCTTTGTTGTTCATCAATGCCTCATATGCAGCTGATTGAGAAATATCAGCAGGCAAATGGGTGAATTTCCTTGAGACCAATGCACTTCCCACAAAAACAGGAGCCTCCAATGGGCCTTGGCAATTGAACACAGCTGTTACAGATCCTGCCATCTGAAGTTAATGGAAAAGACTAATTAAGTGTGATGTGTAGAATAGAAGACATCCTCACAGACATATTGGGAATGAATATGACAAGAAGAAAATACAGATAGACATAGACCGTTTCCAAAATCAATCTATAAGCCAAATAAAACTTTAAGAAGTCAACTTTCATAAAATCAGGATAATGATCTCCAAGCATTCAAGAACGGGTACTATAAATTATGAAATGAACCGTAATTATCCCAAGGTATGATTGAAGGACAAAGAATCATATGGAGGATAAAGGATAAGCATACCGGAAAAAACAAAGGCTTCATCTTGAATGTTTTCATCAGGGCATTCACTTCTACAGATGGAACCTGAGACACCAGCCTCAGAATGTCAACAACTACGTTAAAATTGGAAAAGAGAGGAAGTTTGTACGCAGGACCCTTCACATAATATAATTTAAAAGACAGTGATATCACAAACTTCAAGAAGGTCCATGGGCACAAAAACTTTCAAACATGCCATAGACCAACATGTATATGTATCCACTATTTATGCATCTTTTGACTTCTAGTCAGGATATTTGATTGAGTACATTCGGATTTCCTAGTCATTCATTTATTGAATTTCCTTCCAGAAACATGAACCTAGATCCAAAACAGCAAACCACAAACTTTGAGGTTAGTGACTTTGGAACATTGTAATTAATTGATTGCTGTTTCATTACGAAAGTGATGAGGAAAGAAACTTCCTAACAATATTAGGAGATGGTTTCACACAATTCCAGTGATAGTCAAACAATGCCAAAAACCAAGTTATCCTTATGCAAGAGAAGCTTTCAGTTTCAAGAGATATCGCCATTCAAAATGATGTCACTTTTTCTACAAGGTATCATTGCAGCAAGATGAAATACACAGAAGCAAATATAGAGCTTAAACTCACTTCCAGAGGCAACTACGTAATCTTTTTGCATCACATCATTTACTAAGGTACTAATAAAAATAAAGAAAAAAAAATGAACATAAGCAAGAAGTGTAGCTCAGAATGACATAAAAACAATCTAAAGAATGCAGACAGAACATTAGGTTTCAAAGAGATACCATCAGAGGGATAACACTCTTTGACATCACAAAAGCATGATTGCGTACCTGACACATTAAATGATATTCTCCTTCCTCTGGATCAATGCCAAAGTCCCCAGATGCTTCTAATGGGATATCACCAAACCATCCACTGGCGTTGTGCACGAATATCCTCTGGGCACGGAAAAACAAACTTGCAGACATATCCTGTAGGAAAAGGTGGCCTGAACCCCTTAATAACACTTTAAAGACACATAAAGCAAGTAAGAAGACAATATATGAACCTTGCATAATGAAAGAATAGAATATTTACTCATGTAGCTCTTCTGCACTTTTAGATACGCTTGACAACATTTTTTGGATGCAGAAAGGTAAATATTGTCCTGATCATTCAATCTACTTCACACAAGTTTTAGTCTAGAAGCATAGACGACGGCTCAATCTCAATGCAGAAACTTTTCATCTCATGCATGATTTTTTTAATTATATGGTAGAATCTAGAGTAGTATCTAGAGAAATAGACCAGATAGTAATACTACTAAAAGCTGGCAATTGATTACATAGCTTCTACTATTTGTAACAGTTATTCTATCCAGTGGCCAATAAAGTAACTACGTAAACAATGCAAGAAGCCTCAAGTTGAATAGTATTGTATGAATCCTGAGCATTAGCCAACAACCAAATCCTGGTTCAATAATGTTAACAACTCAATGAGAAAAATGATAAGAGGACAGAATATAGATAAAATTTTGTAATACATACAGAAAACCATGACGGAGCATCATATATCTGAAAGGCCAACCCTGTTACATCAAGCTGCCCGTGAAGGTTAGGAAACGTTTCTCCTTCTGACATGCATATATGAACCTGTGTTGACAGATAAAGTTCAAGATTAGACATATTTCATCCAACTTGAAAAGACTGCTGTAGCAGTAATTGCCATTCAATGACAACGGTTGAGCAGAAAGAAATGAAATGGCATGAAAAAAACAAGGAGCCAGGCATTCACAGGTCTAAATAAACAGACCATAGCAGCCATAATCACACAGTGGAACAATATCATTTGAAAATTTTAGAAATTATGTTTAACACTGATAACCGTGAGGCCCATACCGTCAGCTCTTTCTACTGAAGACGTCTAAAATGTCTAAGCAATATTATTTGTAGCTCAACACCAAAGGTACCAAAGAAAGTGCAAAAGTTTCAGCTAACATATTTCACAAGAGAAATCTTTAAGGGATCCGAAGAGATGGACGAAGAACCCCTCGCCCGTGGCTAGAAGAGGAAGAACTTTGGATCCTATAATCCGCGACTAATTAGGAAGAATTGTTTAATTGCTTTAATGATGACCATTTGTTTAATCATTGTGTAAGTATAAATAGCTAAATCCTTACAAGAGACCTACAATAATCATAATAGAAAACATGAATCCTTATTTAGGAATATTAACTAAATAGAATAAGATTACTAAGAGAAGATTATTAATATTCCTAATTGTAATAATACGAGGCTAATAATAATAGTAATAGGAAATGAATCATTATAAATAATTATAGTGAATTAAGAATAATAAGTTAATAACTATTTAAATATTAACCCTTAGATCCTTAGCATAGTTCCCTCACTCGAATTTCAGCTTGTCCCCGAGCTCAAGGTATGGGGGTGCAATCTTTGATACCCGTTCGGTGGGCCTTCCTCTGCCCTCGAATCGTCTAGGACCACAATGGAAAATAACTGTTCACAATAGTCTTCAACAGTCCTGGTCGGCATCAAGAGCTTATATTTGCTCATTGGTCCCTGTCCAGGGTCGTCTGAAATGGTCAACGCGAAGCTCTTCAAAGAATTTCCTGTTCGGATGTCCCTTGTGCCTTCTTCTTCAATCATCTCATCCAACCAAAGTCGGGAATCATCTAGCAATGGGAAGGAAACAATGCCAGCTTGGTCTTTGTTGGAGATATTTTGTGGTGTAAAAAACTTTTCACGGCACTTTAGCCAATTAATAGGATCAGAAGTTCCAACAAAGGTTGAAAGTGGTTGGGAGTGTATCAGGACATACCGAGGTCACAGAACTCCCTCGAAGCTGCTGCAGAAATCCTGTCTTGCGGATATAGTCAGCGTGGTAACCAAAGATCTTAGAATCCTTCCCCGATTCATGTGTAACCCGACCTCCCCGGCGTCATCCCTGGTGGCCTGGTATCATGTGTCGTGCAAATGAACCTCTTCTCATGTTCCAATTAAAAAACTGGCATGGATTTCCTCAATGGATGAAGAACCCCTCTCTTGCCCGTGGCTAGAAGAGGAAGAACTTTGGATTGTATAGTCCGTGGCTCATTAGGAAGAATTAATTAAATGCTTCAACGATGATGATTATCATTGATTGTGCGAGTACAAATAGGCAAAGCCATAAAACACACCTACCATAATCATGCTAGGATTCTTGGAAACACGAATCCTTATTTGGAAAATTAACTAAAATAGATTAAGATTACCAAGAGAAAACTATTAATATTCCTAAGAATAATAGGAAGCTAATAATAATAGTAATAGAAAACTATTAAATATAATGATAGGAAATTAACAATAATGATAATAACTATTTACATACAAAAACTCCTAGGTACGCAACACAATCCAAATAAGAATAATATGTGCAGTGCAGCGCAGCACAATCTATTGTACAATGCACATTTGAAAACAGGCCAAGCAAGGATACAGCCTTCACAGCATAGCCAAACAATACTCGTGAATTTAACATGAAATTAGCCCTATGAAAAATTTTAACATAATGAAATTACTGTGTCTAAGTCTAAACATATACAAATCCGTGGGTATTGAAGGGGCAGAGTGTTCATACTGAAGACCATGTTTGTACCTTTTGTATCCCGAAATCCACAACCATTATTATAGGAGCATAACCTTCCATACATATAATGTAAAATAGAAATGTGACACCTAAAGAGACATTAATGTTGAGACAAAATTCAAGTTCAAAAATATGTCACTATTGCTAGGGAAACAAATACCAATACATACTGTAGAGGATGCACTCACCAAACAATGAAGAGGGTTGCTTTTCAAGCTCTATATAAAAACGATGAATTTTAGCGCAGCTTATCAAGTTTTATATAAGTGCAAACACAATAACTTTCCAACGTGCAAGATCATTCTTAGTAGCACTCAAAGGATCATATATAAATAGATACATTCTGCAAGATAAACAACTAAGTGAGAGCAGCACCTCACCGCTAGCTCTCCCTTTAGACCATGTGATTGGGAGGTCTAAAATTCTCTCAAAAAGCTACACAAGAAAGAAAAGGATGTCAGGGTCATCCAAAGTAAGTTGCAGACAGCATAAGTGGCCCTGTGGTAAATAATAAACTGCCAACAATCTCAATCTACTTTACCGGAACAAATAGATTTGCTATTTTCAAGTTAGCATGCCATTTCTGCTCAATGATATCAACATAAACATCTGTGGACAACCATCCACCATCTTCAGAGATCAAGTCTGATCTCCACATCTTACAATTTCCACTGAGATGCACGTGGACACGCCCGTAGTGACTTAGGAACTTCATATGTCCACTTGAAATTTCCATTTCTCTATAGAGTGAACAACAAATACAACCAAATGTTTGGAATAAGGCATCCCCTATCTTTAAGATAATACAAATGAGACATGCATATAAATGAATAGTCCATCCTTGAGCAAACACAAGTATATATCAATAGTTATTCAAAGTTCCTTTTCTAAAATCTAAATGTAATATGTTGGTTAAATAACATGACAAGGATAGTTTTATGCAAGTATAACAAAGAAATATAGATTCCAGAAAAAATTGTACTCCCTCCATCCCGTTGAGTTTTTCCAACATGATAGGGCATGGAGATTGAGAAATTATAGTATATGTGGTTAAAGTTTGTATTGAAGAGATAATACACAAGAACTACTAATTTCTCTCCTTAAATAGAAACTGGAAAAGTTTCCTGGGACGGACGAGAAAAGGAAAATTGGAAAATTCCATTGAGTTGGATGGAGTACTATCATACATCAGAATCAAATTCTAATTACAAGAATGCACCAGGGGGGAAAATATAATAGATCAAGCATGCTAGCAAGACAGGGACGCAGTATTTTCTTGTGCAGTAGCTTGGAAACAGGCGAGAATTTAAATTTGACTTGTCTGTAACAAAAGCATAACTACCTTGGTTCAGCATCACCATATGCGAGTAGCATCAGTGTACCACCTTTAAAATGCACAGAATCAAGGACAAGAGGAATCTTTTCATCTATGCCAGAAGAATTTTCTTCACCAGTCTGATCAGGTAGTTCTGTGGACATATCCACAGCTCCCACACCGATCTCATATTTCAGCCATTTCAAAGGATTAAGTAAACAAGTCCATGCCTCACAGATGTTTTTAAAGGCAGAGGATAAACCTGATTCAGGGCTCAAGAGAGAACTTCCAAAACTGTTCACTGATTTTGAAAACTTGAGTTCTGTCAGACTAGACCTGCCAGAAGGATTTCCCCCTTCATTGTACAACATATCATCCTTAGCAATCTTTGCCTCCTCAACTGATCTGACTGTTACATTTGCAACATCTGTGTTAATGTTATCATCTTCTAGTGTAATATGTGCGGAAGGGTTCTTGGTGACTCCAATTCCTTCAACACTTCTGACTGATGAAAATATGTCATTCGAGTCTGTAGATTTACTAAAAGTAAAAACAAAAGGGTATCGCAAGTTATTCGTTTGATTCCTAGAGTGCATTCCTAAGTCTCCTCTAGATACAGAGAGATTGTTCGACTTGTTCCTCGTCTCAGAGATTACCTCATTTGGTAATACTTCACTATTTTCTGCTTTAGTATTATCAAACTTCAGAACCTGATACTCAGGTCCTGCATCTCCTTCAGAACCGGATACTGCGGAAGTAGATGCAGTTTCTTTTTCTCCATTTTGGGTCGAATAGATCTTCAAATTTTGACCAAAACCTGTAGATCCATCAGTGGAGTTTCTTGACTCTTCAGATTGTTCGTGAAAATATAAACGAGCAGCGTATGCACTATGCTCAAGAAGTCTTCTTTTTGAAGCAACACCTGAACTAGGTAAATCTCTTCTGTTAGCCTTCTTATTGAACTTACGCCTAACAAATCCTGGCATGACTCTGGACCAGATGCTGGTTTCAGGGGGTGAAATTTTTGCACCAAATGATTTCTCTAAATCAGCATGCTTCAGAACATACTCAGCACCAGCATCCATCCAATGATGATCTCTCCAGTACAACTTCTTATCATTAAAAAGGAAATTGTCATGAGTCCCTGACCTAGTAGGAAGACTCGTACTTTCCTTCAAATCTTCAACATCAGGCATAACAAAATTGCATTCAGAAATATTATAACCCTTTTCAGCAGATTGTCTAGCTGCATCATCTCTTTCCCGTTCCCATCTGGAAGCAGCTTCCTCCCTTGCAATCATCCTAGTTTTTGTACGATAGTTGATTACTTCATTGGCAGACAAGTGCCTCTGGGGAATTCCTTCCGAATAAGGTATCCCCAACCAAGTAAAGTCCTTCTTCTGTGCTACCAATAAACTTGGATTGGTCAAAACAGCGTCAATAACAACTTTTCCCATTCTCACACTCGCAAAAGGACGAATTCGTAATTTGACAGTGGATACCTCACCACAAGAGAATTCCTCACTATGAGGCCCAATAGAGCAGGACTCCAAAGTAATGCTTAAAGGTGAAATTCTTTGAACCTTACCGAAATTGAATTCTCGTTGAATTTGATCGTTCAGTAGCATACATACTGAAGGCAGCAGATTGGCTTCTATGTAACATTTTGCTTTAGACTTGCCATACCAAACCAACAAATAGAAGAGCACTGCAAAATGAAATAATCCGTTCTTCCACGCTAGAGTCATGAACTTGACCAAAGTCTTGCTTTGTACCACAATGGACTCCTTGACAGAGTTAATCATCCAACTGCTCCGTATTTCCAGATTCTTCCATAATGAATGATGGTTTTCCCTGCAGAAGTGCAATAATTTTCTGCCCTGGAAGACCCAATCGTGTCTCCTTGCACATCTACATGATTGGAAATTTGAACCCTTATGGAGGGGTTTTAATTTAACACCCCTTGGGTAAGCATAATCCGCCTTGTTTCTTCTTCCTAAAACAGTGCACTTAAGCGGAACTCCAAGGAATGGGGAATGAACTTCAGTGCTCATTATTCCCAACCAGTTATCTCTACTTGTTTGCAACTCATTTGGAGGGGACAAGAGCGAGCCCTCAGTCCCCCTTCACACTCCCCAGTCGTCTACAACAGCAAGTCAGAGCAACTGCAATTCAAGCCTGAGAAGCATAAAAAAAGAGAATTTCATAAACAAACACACGTTTCGCATGGTGAGAATGCCACCAGTGTCAGAAACCGCACCGCGGAAACCCGCCTCGAGGCGCGCCTCACACCGCCATGGCCGAAATTGAGGACTGAGGCGGAACTAGATTTTTAGGCTATGCCAAACCCTACGGTTCGACTTCATTACCTTCGTTGATCGTCGACTTCTGATTAGAGCGTGGCGTCTATTGGTTTGTCTTCTAATTCTTCTTCATCGACTGTCTGAACAGACTCACAACTTCCCTCCCTCCATTAATTAATCAGTTCCTGCGATTTGATCTTTGGCGTCAAAATTACTCCGAATAAAAAAACCAGTGCACCATGGCTGCATAAACATTCAAACCCTTTTACAACGAAAAATAGTATCAAAACATAATGACTTTTCTAATGTAGTATCATATTTTTTTCTCAATGTAGTACTACTAGTTATTGTGTATTGATCATTGTTCAAGTAAATGTCCAGCGACATTAGACATTGTTTAAACTAAATATCCACCACATTATTCCTACCACAAGACATTATTCAATTACTATTTAAGAAATAAAACAAATTTAAGTACTACATTGAAAAATGACATATGTTTTAAAACTATTTAGTGTAAATTTCACCTTATTCATGCTTCCGCTAACTTTCTCCTTCCCTCGGTAAACTCCCGCATCTTGGCTCGAACCTAACACATCTCACACACCTCTCTAATTGCAATACTTCTTATTTTGGTCAAATATTTGACCACACAACCAAAAGAGTTTGAGTGATATGCAACAAAAGATTGTATTTTCATTTCAATACTTGAACAAGGTGCTTTGTTTTTTGTACAGTTCATTTTTAAAATAAAATGATACCAAATACTTCTTCCATCCCAAATTGTAACCCACATTTCGAATAACGTGTATAATATCATCTCATGTAAAATAATTTTATTTATAAATTGATAGACAAATAAAAAGTAAAAATTACACCGTTCAAAAATAGATCAAATTTCTACAAAAAAATGCGATAAGAATATTTTATTTTATCAAATGAGCAACCAAAACGACTAAGCAAACAAAGGTTATCGAAAGACCATAATAGTAATGTTGCTTACATTTTGGGATGGATGAAGTAATTTTTAGGTTCATCGAGTCCCAATATTGTACTGTTTTTTAATAAGCATGATACATGATAAGTTCTGACTATATCCTGGACGGTCACGGGACGTGCCCACCCTTATTAATTACAAAAATCCATGCTCAAATCATACTCTTGACAAGTTAATCTCCAGACTATTATATAAAGCCAATCGAGCTTGATAATACAAAGGAATTTACATCTAATCATTTAATGACTATTATTACGGTTCTGTTCTTGTGAGCGCTAACTATTAGCTTTTAACATTTTCTAACTCTTTCTAATTTTTTAACTTATTCCAGTTTTTTCGAACTTCATGCTATTTCTTCGAATTTCCTACTTTATTTTTAAACTGCAAAAAGAGACCCTACATATCTATTAGAGCAGTAGCAGCGGCGAGTTTTCTGTGTGCCACGCCCTGCCATGTAATACTTTGACTTACTTGCCGTGGAATGGAAGGAGAATTCCACCCTGATTAGCGTGGCTTGTGCGAGGCAAATTTGTTGCTTTTCTTTTTATTTTTTTTGAAGAAAGCCAGTAGGCGCTATTGATAAAAGGATATGGAGTATCAAAATGGCAAAAGAAGACTTCATGTCATGCCACTCAAGACTGCACTATTGTTTTAAAAATAAAATATTTTTTTCTAAGACATTTAAATTAATAAAATAGATAAACTTTAAAAAAATTATGCAGATAACAACGTTTTTAAAATTTTTTTAATAAGGAAAAAGATGATTTTTTTAATAAAGAAAAAGAATGCTCTTTTATTGTAAAGGTTATGCTCTTTTATCAAATATTCATTTTTAAACATTAATGTTTTATGTGAAATTATATAATTTAATTTAAAAAATTAATTTTCTCTTTGTACAATTAAAATCTTTACAAGAAAATGCAATAATTTATAATAAAAAAAACATACATGGACTAATTAAAATATGTCAAAATGTTAACATTGCCAAAAAAAGATTGCAATTATTTTTATTTAAAAAGGTAAGTAAATTAATTTTTAATAATTAAAATATATTAAAAAGGTGTAAAAATGATAAAAAGAGTGACTTGCCACTGCAAGACATGCCACTCCACTCATGTTTCACACGCTGACTGGACTTGTTTTGATTGGCTAAAAAGAGTGACTTGCCACTGCAAGACTGCAAGATCTTTAATTAAGCAATTATAAATGTTAAAAAAAAAATTACATTCACGTGTTTGGAAATACTCCATATGTTTTATTGCATGGTACAAATTTATATCAAGTGTTAGGTTATAAAAAAATTTGAGCATTCAATCGTAGGTTTGAACTCTAAATTTGAGCTGAATTAGTTCCTTGACATAATATCAAAACTTTATTTTAGGTGTCCTCGCCACCCGGTTTAAAAGATCAACTTTCACGTGTAAGACTTGAACAAAAATAAGTTTCGCCTACACATGAAGAATCGTGTTTGAGTATAAAACATTTCTTGGAGCTTCAACCGCAAGTTTGAAATTTTGGTCGAGTTAGTTTTTTGACAATAAATTATGAGAAACATTAGAGCTAGTCACAAACTAAATATAGAATTTTCAAATTTACTATTTGTCAACTTTATTAAGAGCATAACATAAACTTTAAAAATTAACATAAAAATTTATATTTCATGATAGTGAGTTTGCAAGTTTTGTGACTATATAATTTGTAACTCTAGCATTTCTTATAGATCATAGATATTTCATGATAAAGTTTGTAAATGGAAAAGAGCTTATTGATCACATAAAAATATTTGATACTGTCGTGTATCACCGATCGCTCCACAACATGGTAAAAAACGGTTCTACAAATAATGTTGAGAATTCATGTTTATTTTTATGGGCCTATAATCCCTATATACAACAGATATTACATGATATGCAATTTCATGAACAGTAAGCAAATACATGTATATAAGAGTGTAATAGATAATTAATTATAAAGGGTTGCTAATGATATGCCTACTACATTCACTGATAAAAAATGGACAAACTAGCATGTTTTTTTTTTTGCATGAATGTTGCAAAGAAAAATGTAACCTTTACTATGAATGCTCTTACCAAAATTAAAATATCTCCATTTGAATATATATATGATTTTGTAATTTAAGAAAAATAAAAAGTAACATACATTCTTAGTCTTCTCATCGCTACATCTTAGTTTCATGAATGTTTTATGAAAAACTATTTTCAAAAGAGTAATGTTAGGCCTTCAACAAAAAAGTAAATCTACAAAATTCACAAACTTTCCTTTTTAACATTTCACTATGACAAGATTCACTCGAATAATAAAAAAGTATTTAAATTTAAAATTTATAAAAGGCAAAATTGTGAACTGTTTGTTTGTGACTATAACATTTTCGTATTCAAACTATATTTATAGGTCACTTTATACCCCATTCGTTTTGCTTTTTTTTTGTCATTCCGATTGTCATTCATCTCAATAATATTGTTAGTCTTTGTTGAAAAAGAAAAATTAGATACTCAGAGTTGTTTTTCATCTTCTAATTAAATCTCAACACTTCCTTAGTCTTTAATCTCCTTGATATCAAGTCATTAATAAAAATATGATTTTTATTAAAATTAAACTTGTGTTATTGTTGTTTTCGTAGGAGAAAGATCAATAAGAGGTTATACGACTATGATTTCCTATAAAAAAAAGAGTGAGGAAAGTTTTGTTACAACCTAAATACCTAAAAAAAATAGTACTCGGTATAAAGATAATTATGAAAGTGAAAACTGATTATAGGTTAAAAAAGGTAAACTGATTATTTGTTGAAACTAAAAAGGTAATTATGCGTAATTGCTGAACCCTCTCAACTTGTACGGAGTGATTTGGTAAGTTGGGCAATTCGCAAGGGGGTTTTGGAAAACGACGCCGTTTGAGGCGAAATCTACGCAGTTCACAGCTCAGGCGCAAATTTGAAAATTCAAATCCGAAATATTTTCATTTCCCTAAAATTTCGATTTTCGTCTCCGTAAAAGAAGAAGAAAAATTTCAATTTTTCATTTCCAGAATAAAATGCCGCCCAAAGCCCCCATTTCAAAATCCTCTCTTCTCGCATAACCTTCAACCAACTCCCCTCGAGCGCTCCCTTCATCCCCCCATTCACCAAGAAGCTCCGCCGCCGGTTACCGGAATCCGTCGCAACAATGCCAGAAGCCAGGGACAGGATTATGAGGGCCGTCGATCTGGCTGAGCTCTATATCAGGCGGCGGCAGCAGCTCGCTTTTGGCAGCGGTGGGAACTACCGCTGGGGAGAGACGGCATCTCCAGGAGCCGAGACCCCCGCAGCACCGGACACCAGCGGACGCGTCCGGAGGAGCCCGTTCGCGAGGCGTGGCCGTGGAGGCGGCCGCCGGCAAGTTCAGCCTCGCCGCAGCGAATTGCCCTCGTGGTACCCCCGGAGGCCGTTGCAAGACATCACTGCGATAACCAGGGTATTCAATTGCTTGATTCCGATTTCCGCAATTTCTCTGGAGATCTTGAATTTTTTCCCCTCATTTCAATCAATTACTCCGTAAATCTTTAATTTTCTTTGAGGAGTATCAATTAATTCTAGCTGCGATGTTCATTCAGTGATTTTAATAAGATTAAATGCTCAATAAATGCGACGGAGTAATAAATAATGATTTCCTACAGGCATATCAGAGGAGAAGAGAGCGTCTGAGAGGAGAAGGCGGAGATGAACAGCCAGAGACACCCGTGTTCCAGGTCTACACAGACGTTGAAGAAAGTGCTTATCTTGAGCACAACAATCCGAGCACCACACCCTTAGCCGTTAGATTGTGTCCACCTTCATCTTCCTCGAAACCCGATAAGGAGTGGGAGTATGTGACTCCTCAGAGGAAGCTGCTGGACTCCATCGACAAGGTTGAAAAGGCGCTGAAAGAAGAGCTGGAGAAGATGAAGAGGACGCCCAGCGCTAAGAAAGCTGAGAGAGAGAAGAAGGTCCGGACACTGATGACAATGCGTTGATTCGATCCATCTTCAGTCGACACTTCACTCAATCAAGGTTGAGGGACGCCGGGGCTGGCTTGGAGCATGGGGCTGGCTTGATCAGTAGTTTTGAACAGGTTTATGCTCCTACGATTCCATGTTTCTAATTCCATGGGATTTTGGCATGAGAAAGGTGCAAACATGTTCTTATGTTTGGATACCCTGCCCCATCAATCCCATGGGTTTGTATATGTTTAGACCTTAGGCACATTAGTTTTGTTATGTTCCAATTTTCCATAGGCTTTCATGTTCAATTTGTGAGTATTGTTTGGCTATGCTGTGAAGACTCTATCCTCACTTGGCCCATTTTCAGATGTAAGTTGCACAATAGAATGTGCTGCACTGCATAGTATACTCTGGCTTTAAATACAGTTTTTTCTTGCTTGTGCCATTTTCTGTGGTATTTTTGTTGGCCTTGTATAGTTACTAAAGTTTCTCAAGGGGGCAACTTGCTGGCTGAAAATAGAGAAGATTTTACTGTAATATTTTCTGCAATACCATTCTCTGATTAAGTGAAAAAATCTGATATAGGGTTCCTCTTGGAATGGAAAGAAAGAAATGGCAATATATGTCTGACATCAAATTTTTACTCTTCTAGGCCCAAAAATCCAAACATATTCTTTTTCCATGATTGGCACCAGATTCTTGAATCAGTAATTATTTTTTAAAGGTACAATTCAGTTTATTCTTTCTTTCACAGTAGTCATTGCTGGTCACTTTCCAATAGATATAGGGTTCCTCTTTGAGTGAAAAGAAAGCAATGGCAATATATGTTTGATGTCAAATTCTTACTCTTATCTCAAATGAAACTTGGCTCAAAAACTCAAACATTTTCTTTCTCCATAATTGGCATTCAGCACCACATTCTTGAATTAGTAATTATTTTTTATAGGTTAAATTCAATTTTTTCTTTCTTTCGCCCTAGTCATCGCTGGTTACTTTCCAGCAGGAAAAAAAAACTCCGAAACTCCTTAATTTGACTCGGTCGATTTTGCAACACTTGTGAAGGCAATGTAGGCTGATTGAGTTAATGTTCATCGGCTATGCATCTTACACCATTGTTTCCAATGAAGTGAAAAGGTGAAGGTAAACATAACATACAAGAGCAAAAGACAATATCTCATAGACTCAAAAGATTAGAGCCCAAACTGTTCAGAATTTCACAAGTGTGATTACATGATGAGGATTATTTGCACTTGAGGTTTATAATGCGGAGATCCTCAGAAACAAAAACCAGACAATTGGATACAAGAGTAATGCAGGTTAGGATTAAACAAAGAAGCGGTATATGCTATGGGCTGTTGAGGTTCTTGAGGTCTTGTTCCTGGGCATACCAACTCGGCACAACCTTTGAGAGGTGCGGGTACAGATCCTTGAAGGAATTTCTTATTGTCCCTTCTGCTACGCCTGTTGCAAGCGACACATCTGCACACACCCAATGCATTTTGAAACATATATTATTCGTACACGGCAACGTGAAGTTGAAAAATGTAACCTGACAGCTGTCAAATGCTTCCTTCCTTAGCATATGAAGAAGCTTTGAGAGGTCTAATAACACGAATGGGATCGGTTATTACCTTTGACAGGTTTTTTATCGTCTGAAAGTTGGGTAACTATGTATATAACGGCTGCGGCAATAGATATAGGGTTCCTCCTGCAGTTAAAAGAAAGCAATGGCAGTAAATTTTTGGTGTCGATGTCTTGCTCTTTTACCCCCTCCCCATTGCCTCAACCCATTTTTTCTTTCACACAATCAAGCATCTCGGTGAATGAAAAATGCAGAAATGTAACACTGACCTTATGTCAAACTCTTCTGACTTTGTAACAGCTTCTTGGGCAGCTTTAACGGCATGGTTTGCCATTCCCAGGTTTGAACAAAAGCGCCGCTGGAGGAACAAGACAGGTTGGAATCTGATCTCAAGAAGGAGAAGGAATGTATAGGTTCATTAGTGTTTTGCAAAAAGAGAAAGAAAAAAAGGGCTCACCATAAAATCCCCTGCATGTATGGTGCCCATATCAACCGATTGACCCATCTCAAGCTCTAATTGTTTCACTATGTATTCCTTTGCCCGGCCAATCTCCTTCTTGGTTGCACCATTCGCGACAGAGTAAATTTCTAGTCGAAACACAAATGCTCTAGAGATAAGATATGAGAATCGTTGATATGAATGGTTAACAAACTAATTTGAAGGACTTAATTGACGCTTTAAACTCATTTCTTAAAAATGAGTTTTTTTTAGAAAGTGGACAACGAAATGGTACCTTTTACAGTGCGAGGCTTGTCCTCCTGTCTACAAGCTATGTATATGCATGCCGCTAGAATAGCGTCTTGGTTTCTTCCTCTACTTGATTTCTGATCTTCAACCTTCTTGTAAATCTCGTTCGCGCGATCCTTCCAATTAATAAAAGGAAACCCAGTGTCAACCAGCTACATAACTATCCATCTTTTCATGCTTAATGGCTAGGGCCAAGAATGAAACATGACCATAGTTGCAATCTTTCTATCTGAAGCAACCATTATTCCATACTCGCACCGTCCCTAAATAAGGTTCTACTTCACTATTCAAATGGTTGAACCATATCTTCGCTCATCACAAATTTTCATTCATCATTCGATAAAATAAATTAGTCAATCCACCTCTTATTTTTGTAGAACTTCTAACGTAATTTTTAAATATATACAAAGTAAATTTTATTTTTTAATTCTATGCCTATGTTCAAATGAATTGAATTGAAAAACAACTTTTGGAAAAAGAAAAAAAAATCCTAAGATAAACCAGCAGAAGATAAAACCATGACTTCTTGAACAGAAAACACCTTTATTGTGGCTACAAGACCCAACCTGAAAATTTCAAAAGGAAATCACATCAGTGACCATTAAAGACAAATTCTTGACAGATGAACAATTATGATCCCCAGAACACAATGATCCATTAACAAGAAATGCAGAAAAAAACCATTCTGATTTGAGCTAACATACCAATTACCAACAATTTTTTTATATATGCAATCACATAACCAAAGAACATATGCAATCTGAATCTCATAAATCATTACACTCTTTTATATGTTTTCTGCAACCAAAATTCCAGATGAGAATAAATTCAAGAATGCCCAAAGGCCCAGCCTTTTTCCACATCAAAATTGAACAAATTGATGCAGAGCTTCAGCAATCACACAACCCAAAATCATGTTAAAAGAAAAAAGATTCAAATTTGCAGAAATTGGAAGGTCCAATGGAGAAGAAGATAAATAAAAATCTCTGTTTTCAATTTTTGTTTCTTCAAAACAGAGAAATGCAAAATGCGCAGGAAATGGAGACGAACCTATCAGACATAACGCCGATGGCTTTGAAGGCGAGGATGAGGGAGCGATCGGGGTTGGAGGCGCGGTTCTGCCAGCGGCCGAGGGAGGAGGAGAGGAAATCGCTGGTGGTGCCGTTGGGCTTGGAGATGACGGTGGAGAGGCCGCCGTCGGTGAGGAGGGGATTCGTTGGGCCGCCGACGCGATTGGGGTCGTTGTCGCCGGACTCGTTGGCGAAGGTCCTCCACTCGGAGGTCTCGTCGACGGAGTGGGACTCGAGGACCAGGCCGCATTCCGAGCAGACCATGTCGCCGGCGGAGTGGTCGAACACCACCTCCGTACTCCTCTTGCAGTCCGAACAGAACGCATCCATTGCTGAAAATCTGACAACCCAAACCCAGAAAACAAAAACAAAAAAAGAACTGAAACTATTTCTCTGTTGTTTGAGATTATTAACAGTTATAGTTCATATCTTTGGTGTGTTTGTCAGGTGTAACGGGAAGGAAAGCGTCAAAAGTGATATATATATATATATATATATATATATATATATATATATATATATATATATATATATATATATATATATATATATATATATATATATATATATATATATATATATATATATATATATATATATATATATATATATATATATATATATAGGGGCTGGATCAAGTGAGAATGCACTTTGGTGAAAAAAATAAGAATAAAATCTAGCATTTGGATATGATGCATCGTGCGGCTCAGATTGCATTCTGCACTGAGATTTTGAGATAGTCATTTTTAAAGGATTTTGGTGCATTTTGACATGATGCATTTTTAAACTATTTTGGTGCACTTAATTTTGATGCAATCCTGGCCCTTAGATTTCACAATCTAAAGCACCAGATTCATTCTTATTTCTTTTATAAAATCGCATTCTCACCTGAACCAAAATCTATATATATATATATATATATATATATATATATATATATATATATATATATATAATGAGATCTTATTAAAGAAAGAAATTAGAATGTGAGATCACACCTTACGGTGATTCGGTGAAATGACGCCAAGTTCACCACACTACACTACAAAGCTCACCAATTGACAATGCAAAGCTCACCTGGAAATAAAGAAAAGCTCACTACTTTGTACACCAAAACTCACCTTTTTTTAAATTTTGAAAATTAAAAAATTAATTAAAAATAAAATAGCAACAATTGTCAAACATCGGTCAGCGGCGGCGCGATGGCAGGGCAGCGGCGGCCGACGGCGGAGTAACGGTGGAGAGACGGTGGTGGCTAGCAATGGTAGACGGCGGTCAACGGTCAAAATCTAGTCAGCATCCCTTCCTTTGATTATATATATATATATATATATATATATAAAATATATATATATATATATATATGTATGTATGTATGTATGTATGTATGTATGTATGTATGTATGTATATATATATATGTATATGTATATGTGTGTGTGTGTGTATATATATATATATATATATATATATATATATATATATATATATATATATATATATATATATATATATATATATATATATGTGTGTGTGTATATATATATATATATATATATATATATATATATATATATATATATATATATATATATATATATAGACATACATACATACTCCGTCTACAAATAAATTTCTCGTTTACTATTCATAGTGTCAAACTTTATTCACTTTGTTGGCCTATTTTCGTTACCCATTTGGTAAAATAATATAGTTAAGTCACCTCTAGTTTTGTAGATCTTTTGATATAGTTTTTTAATATGTAATTTTTATTTTTAAATTTTACACCATTTTTCAAATAAAATAATCTAGAAATAACTTCAGTCAAATATTGTAACACGTAACTGGAGGTTTATTTGTGGTATATAGGCCAAATAGCTCCGGTGCCCCCTGTGGTTTGGAAAATTAGCACCAATACCCTCTCTATTTTCAAAACTTATTTCTAAAGTTCCCGTGGTTTCAAAATGCTGCACCCGTGCCCCCTCTGATCATTTTCCGGCCATTTTCCGGCGAAGAGGGGGCATTTGCGCATAATTTTTAAACCATAGGGGGTATTCGTGCTCATTTTTTAGTTTTCGTTTATTATTTTTATTTTTATTTTTTTAAATATTTTCTATCTCTTTTTTCTTTTCCTAGTTTTTTTTCAAATTTATAATGTTTTAAAATTTTAAAATTTTTTGTTTTTGAAATAAAAATAAAAAAATTGACATACATTGCATCTATTTGAAATTAAACATTTTCACTTTTTGTTACGTACTTATTTGGAAAGTTCAAAAAGAAAAACCTAGAACAAAAAAATAAAAATATGGAAAAATAAATTAAAAAATAAAAATACACAAAAAAAGTCTGATACAAAAAATGGACAAACCTAAAAAAGTCCTTAGAATTGAGATGTTCGAAAAAGATATTCATTTTTATTTTTCTATTATTTTGTTTCTTATTTTATTCGTCATTGTTTTGAAATTCTCCAAAAAAAGTTTACTTTTTTCAGAAAAAACAAAAATTATTGATTTGAGAAGTACATATACATTATATTTTAATTTTTTCAAACAAAAACAACTTTAAATTTTATGAGCATTATAAAAATAATTTTAAAATACCTTTATTAATAAAAGAAACTATTAAGGAAAAAATGGAAAAAAACAAAAAAAATAAGCGAGAAATAAATATCAGCACTGATACCCCCTGTGGTTTAGTAAATATGCATTAATGCCCCCCTTCTTCGCCGGAAAAATGGCCGGAAAATGATCAGAGGGGGCACGAGTGTAACATTTTGAAACCACAGGGACTTTAGAAATAAGTTTTGAAAACAGAGGGGGTTTTAGTGCCTATTTTGCAAACCACGGGGGGTACTGGTGCTATTTGGCCGTGGTATATATATCATCTGTATATGCGTAGAAGTTGATAGTGGGTTATTTAGCGAGAAAAGAACGTGGCAAGCCTGCACCTGCTCTGCTCTCTGTTCATTTTTTACAAACTCATTCATTAACCAAACTATCCTAAACTTTCCTTTTTTTAAATAATTCTATTAGGACACTTCTTCCCTCCTACTCCCTTCCTTCCTGAAAGAATTATCAATTCAATCAACGTATAAAATTTCGTGACTTTTAAAATGATATTATTTATAAATTAGTAAAGGAATACAAAATAAAAAATTTATGTTTAAAAAACTACATCGAAAACTCAACAAAATAAGAGGTGACAGAAATATTTTATTTTTCAAATGATCAATGAAAACACACAAACAAATAAGAGTTATCGAGAGACTGCAATAGTAAAGAGATAATTCCTTTTGGGACGGAGGTAATTCTATTTTGACTCTCGAGAAATTTAAAAAATTGTCTTATACTCCGTACTTGTTTAAACTTTTCAATTTAACTTTTATGAAGTGTCATAAAAACTTCTCTTTTTGAATTGCTTATTTGTTCTTCGTCTTCCTCGTTCAGAACATCTTCAATGAGATATCAAAACATGAGTTGTCATATCTTTGTGAAACACTTATATAAAGAGTAATATTTTAAATGTTCATTTAGCTTTCGTGAACAGATGATATATATATGTTGTGCCCAAGAGCCGAATATACTACAACAACCTTTATATTATTATTAATGTTTTTAAGGTAAGCCCACAATTTTGACATCATTCTTTGCATAGACAAACACAGATAATAACTATTGATGCCACACCGATAGTTATTGTCTATGTGTGTCTATGTAAAACATTATATTAATGTTGGTGCCAAAACTATGAAATTACCCTGACTTTTGTATATAATTATATATGTAGCTCCATTAGAGATGCTCTAAGCGGTGGCTTTGCTAAGAAGGTAACTAAAGTTTGTGAGGTTCTTGGTCATGAAAGTGTAAAATTGATAGCTCATGATAGGTGAATTGACAATTGATTTTTTGAATTTAAAGTAGTTGTTCGATTCGACATGACACTTATTTTGTGAAAAGACAAGTAATTATTGTCCTGTAATAATTATATTTGTTAAATTTAAATGAAAAATCTAGACTAGTGCAAGAGTATAATGCACAAATTTCAGGTTAATGGAAGAAAAACAAAATAAAACTAACCAAATAAAACTAAGGGTCTTTTTGGAAAGAGAGAAAATGCTTTTAGGAAAATGATTTCGGGAAAATGAGTCTCATCCAGAAATAATTTTTTTTTTTCTTTTAGTTTTCTTGGTGTTTGGCTACACTGAATGAAATTCTCAAGATCAGAAAGAAATTACGGCTGTGAAGAAGAAAACGAGCAAAGCTAATTGGGAGGAAAAGCAAGAAATGTTGGAATTTTTGGCATTTTAATTGGCATTAAATGTACCAATTTGGGTATATTTGTCAATAGGTCCACTAACGGTTTTAACCGTTTATTAATGGACGTGTGTTCTCTTAAATGAGATAAATGTTTGACAATTTATACGCCAAAAATGGTAGAGGGTGAATGAGAAATTGATTCTCAGAGTTAACCCGTTAATAAAAGAATATGGTGAGGATTGCAATTTTTGCAATTTTACTGAACCAATCTTCTTTTATTAATTTTACGTATTGTTTAAAATTAG